GCGGCGGCGGCAAAGAGACCTCGACTTGCTCGACCAGCATCGGCTCGTACGGCGGCGGCAGCGGTAGCAGCAACAGCAGCTCCTCTTTCCCTGCAGCCACACTCTAACGGCAGCAAAAAGCCGCCGCCAAAAGTGAGCATCATGCTGAAGAAGGTGAACAGTCGCAGCAACATTGCCGCCTCTCTCCGCCCACTCAATGGCAGCAACAGTCTGAATGGGGGCGGCAGAGGACGCAGTCGAACAAAGTCGCCCAGTCCAAACTCGGGGCGAAGGTCAAAGTCACCGTCGGTGGGTGGCGTCGGTCAGTCATCGGTGAGCGGTGGCGGCGGTGGTTCCTCCTCACCAGCCAACTCTGAGAACTCTACCAACTCGACCTCCTCGGGGCAGACGCCGCCGAAGATGGTGTCGCCTGGTCGAGGGTACAGTAAGCGGAAGAACAATCAACAGCAGGCGCAGGGCAAGATTCAGCACGGATGGGTCTGGCAGGGAGAGCCGGTGGAGCGTCTAGTGTACCTCGATGTAAGTGCAGAGAATGATTGATTCCTCCCTATGATTTGCTAATTTTCAAATGTTCTTTTTTCCAGAACGAAGATACTCCGCACAAGCGAAAGTGCTACCCGAGCATGAAGCACAAAGTGGAGGGAGAGACGATTGCCGTTCGCGACTGTGTGCTGCTGAAGAGCGGTCCAAACAGTGACGACATTCCCTACCTGGCCAAGATTACCGCACTCTGGGAGAAGGATGGTAAAGACCATTGGCTGATAACTGTGAGCTCTAATTCCCTTTGTTTTCCCACATTGCAGGCGACATGATGATGAGCCTTCTCTGGTACTACCGCCCCGAGTACGGCCCAACGTCCACCAACGGCAATGGAGGCGGTGCCGCCAGCAGCGGCGACGGCGTGACCGTGTCCACTACGGAGACGGAGAAGACAGCCACCGCAATGGCCTTCACCAACTGCGAGGTCTTTGCCTCGAAGCACCGAGACGTCAACTCGGTGGCCTGCATCGACGACAAGTGCCACGTTCTCACGTACAATGAGTTCTGCCGCTTCAAACGGGAAAGGGCCCGTCTTCTGGCCGGTCTGCCGCCCTCGGCGGTCGCCGCTGAGCGGCTGGTCGCGCCCTGGCAGCCCTCTTNGAGACGGAGAAGACAGCCACCGCAATGGCCTTCACCAACTGCGAGGTCTTCGCCTCGAAGCACCGAGACGTCAACTCGGTGGCCTGCATCGACGACAAGTGCCACGTTCTCACGTACAATGAGTTCTGCCGCTTCAAACGGGAAAGGGCCCGTCTTCTGGCCGGTCTGCCGCCCTCGGCGGTCGCCGCTGAGCGGCTGGTCGCGCCCTGGCAGCCATCTTCGCTGCTGACCGCCGACGCCGAGGCGGAGAGCTCCTCGAACTCCTCCACACTGGCGACCACCAGTCGTCCCCTTCCGCCCCTGACCGTCTCTCCGGAGCTGGTCTTCTTCTGTCGCAAGGCGTACGACTTTCGCCAGAAGCGCATTCTGAAAAACCCCATTCCCTTCTCCTACCGTAGTTCGGTCAATCTGAGCGAGTAAATTTGGGGGAAGGGACGGTAATTTTGTGATTTAGTCGTCGTCAGGAGCTGACCCAGCTCGTCCTTTTTCACTACTACTTTTGATACTCATCATCCCTTCTCGAAGACTGACACATCACTTGCATCTGCGCTTCCTTCCTTCCCTTTCCACACACACACACCCAACCAATTCTCTGGGTCAAATCAACCCTTCCCTCCCCCAACCTATCACCCACCAACACTCTTTCACACTGCAAGCCTGAACGGATGATCTTTTTTTGTATTCTCTTGTTTCTGCAATTCTGCAACTTTTTATTTATTCCCATTTTCGTTGTTCCTTCTTTTGTTGCCTTCATTTGCTATGTTCATTCTTTCTTTCACACAGACACACCGATTTAGTTTGTTGTTGATTCTTTCTCTCTCTCCCTTTTCTATCTCTTCTTTGTCATCGGCAGTAGGCAGGTCGCTCTATATTCCATTGCGCGGTATTATACCATAATATTCTCCAGGGTAATGGTGCAAACGACTCTCAACACTCGACTCCACTCGACACTTCTCTCCCCCTGATTCTCTTTCTCCTCTTGCCCATCCTACCTACTCCACCCCATCCCATCCCACTCCACCTCATCTCAGTCAGCTGTTCACAAATCATATTTCATATATTCTATATTTATTTATTAAGAAATTCTTTCTATCTTTCCCCTTCATTCATTCATTCATTGCCTCACAAATGACAATACTTCATGCTTATGTGGTTCACTCACTGCATCCCCATCATCATCATCATCTTCACCAAACACCCCAAAATCAAATAAAACAAAAGATATTTCTATTGATGTGGATTCGGTTGTTGATGACTCAGAGTAATTAATTTACTCTGTTTTCACCGTCGTGCACACCTGAAGAAAACCTGGCGTTATCTAATGTAAACAACGGATTCCGATCCGCGTTAGGCCAGTGATGTCAAAATAGATCTGTTCAAAATAGTCTTAACAAAGGCGGCTAGTGCTTTCTCTTTCTCTTGCCTCTCTCTCGCTTTTCACCAGCGGACATTGTTGTTGGATAACGACGGTTTGCGACGCTTATCAACAACAATCCTCCTCCTCCTCTTACTCTTCCACCTCCTCCTCCTTCATCTGTCATCTGTTCGCAACTCCAGTGTGCTGATCATGCCTCCGAAGCGACCCGCGAAGAGTGCCACTGCTGCCGCCGCTGCTGGCGGCAATGGCGAAAAAGCGACCAAGCGCAGAAAGAAGGCGCCAGCCAAGAAGGCCGCCGCCTCTTCTGACTCGGATTTTGACTCGGACATTGACAATGGCAACGGTCATGCTCCGGCTGAGGTGGTCGACGACACCGGCGACACTGCCGTGGATGAGGCCGTCGATGAGTCGCTGTACCCAAAGGAGCCTGCCGTCGTCGGCCGTCTGCTGATCTCCGGCGGCACCAACTGGGACTTGGTCGGCCGCAAGGAGCTGCCGAAATCGGCCAAGAACGCCCCTAATATGTGCACCGGAAAGAATCTCTGGGGACCTGCTGATTCCGGCTTTCGCGTCCGATTCGCCTGCTCTGGTCCCACTGCCTGTCACTCGATGATCGTCACCGAGGAGGGAAAGATTCTGATGTTTGGCCGAAATGACAACGGCCAACTCGGCTTAGGGGACACCATTCGTCGCGATGAGCCCACCGAAGTGACTGCTCTTAACGGCCACAAGATAGTCGGCGGAGCTGTTGGTCGTGGTCACACTTTGTTTCTCACTTCCAAGGTTAGTAACCCTCTCTTTGAAGTTTTTATCTACATGGACTAATGTTATATTCTCTAATAGGGACTAGTATTTGCTTGTGGCGACAACAAAATGGGCCAGCTGGGCATTGGCTCGCAGAGCCAATCGGCGCTCACACCTACTCGAGTTCTGCACAGAGGAAAGCCCATCGTGAAGGTGGCCTGTGGCGCCGAGTTCAGCATGATTGTCGACTGCGTCGGAAACCTCTACTCCTTTGGATTTCCGATGTATGGACAGCTTGGCCATAATACCGAAGCAAAGTACTTTGCCTCGGGCAACAAGCTGGCGTACCGATGCGAATACTCACCTAGAAAAATTATGTTCTACATTGAAAAGAGTAGAGATAATCACGTTATCCCGGTGGAAAATGTTCAAATTCAAGATGTTGCTTGCGGCATCAATCACACCGTGGCGGTTGACCAGAAAATGCGAGTTTTTAGCTGGGGATGGGGCGGCTATGGAAGACTGGGTATGTGAAAATCTTTTATCTCTATACCAAACATCAACTTTAACCACCAATCTTTTTCCGTCTCCAGGTCACACTGAAGCCCGTGATGAGTTCATTCCGCGACTCATAAAGACCTTCGACCAGGCGAACCGAGGAGTAAAGCAGGTCTGGTGCGGCGGCACCTTTTCCCTTGCTCTCGACCAGAACAATCTACTGTACTTTTGGGGACAGGCGAAGAGCAGCGGCGAGGCAACGATGTACCCCAAGAATGTGCAGGATCTAAACGGCTGGAACATTCGATCGGTAGGCTGCGCCAACAAGTCCATTGTCGTCGTCGCCGATGAGAGTGTCATCTCTTGGGGCCCAAGCCCAACCTACGGTAAAGTTTTTGCCCAGTTGTGCCCTTTGACGTTTCACTAATTTGTTTGATTTAGGTGAACTGGCGTACGGTGAGAACAAGGCCAAGAGCAGCACCATTCCACAGGAGGTGAAACCGCTGGAGGGCATTCACGTGCACAGTGTCTCCCTTGGTTACGGTAAGCATGCGCTCCTTAAAAGGCTTCTGTGTATATTGACATTTTTTACNCATCTCTTGGGGCCCAAGCCCAACCTACGGTAAAGTTTTTGCCCAGTTGTACCTTTGACGTTTCACTAATTTGTTTGATTTACTCATTTAGGTGAACTGGCGTACGGTGAGAACAAGGCTAAGAGCAGCACCATTCCACAGGAGGTGAAACCGCTGGAGGGCATTCACGTGCACAGTGTCTCCCTTGGTTACGGTAAGCATGTGCTCCTTAAAAGGCTTCTGTGTATATTGACATTTTTTACTGTTCACTTGTAGGTCACTCCCTCTTTATCGCTCGCGATGAGGGCGAAGAGGAGAAGAAGCTGATCAACGATCTCCCCAAATGGCTGTAAACGCTCATCCACTCACTCCCTCACACCTGCACAAGCACACACACACATATTTACGAATGAATAGACTGGTCTACGCCCACTCACCACACGCAGAAATCCCAAGAATACCTCCCTTCTCTCTCCTTCATTGCATACACTTTACATTCTCATTCCATGCATTAGTATCTTACTCCCTCCTTATAACTCTTTTTTTCTAATTTCTCAAAGCACACACAAATTCTTTTATTGTCATTTAGCTTCCGTGCTATCGTCACCACCACTACTAATGAATTGCTACCTACCTACCTAATCTCACCAATGTCACAAACCCAATTCTCAAACTCTAAATAAGAAAGCAGGACTATTTATTTTTTCTACTCCAATGGAATCAATGTATGAAAGATGACTGTAAAAGTATTAATATCGACAGATTTTAAAGTAATTAGCAGTAGTGGTTACAGCGGCGGAGAAATGAGTGAAAAAGTATGAGTGTGTAGCGCGGTGTTTACATGCTGACGGTGTCCTTGGTCAGCTGATCACCGGCCAGTTGGTCCTTGGTGCCGTTCTTCACCTGCTCGGATTTGGCGCCTCCTTTGGCAGAATCCTTTTTCTGTTGGGTAAGGGTGTGTTGGGTAGTAATGTTCTGTTGATCAGTCACTGTGTGTCACTCAGTTGCTTACCTCGCTTGTGTCGTGCTTGGCAAGTCGCTCAAACATGTTCTTGTACTTGATCTTCTCCGCCTCACGCTGCGCCTTCAGCTTGACGTTCACATTGGCCAGCTGACTCTTGGCGAGGCTGTTGTTGGGGTCAATCTCCAGCAGCTTGAGAAAGTCCAACTTGGCCGCCTCAAAGTCCTTCTGCCCGAAGTGCGCCTGACCACGGCGGAAGATGCCCTTCTCGTTCTTCGGGTCGATCTCCAGCGCCTTGTCGCAGTTCTTCTGCGCGTCAACGTGCTTCTCCGTCTTCAGGTAGCACATGGCCAGATTGAGGTAGCCGGCGAGCAGCGTCTCTCGGGCGCGATCCTTCAACTCGCCCTCAAACTCGTCCAGCAGACCGACAAACTGAATGACGCGCTTGTACTGCTTGATGGCCAGCTTGAACTTTGACTCCTACAGCACAGTGAGAATGAGCATGAGAGTGAGCTGAACTTTAACTGAACAATCCCAACTTACCTTAAAGTACTTTGTTCCCTTGGTCTTGACGAGGGTAGCCTGCTCCAGCCGTTCACTGTTGTCCATCTCAAAGACCTCCTTGACGTTCTCAAAGCTCTTTAGGGTGATCTCGTACTTCAGCTCCTCGTAGTCCTTTGGAATGCCGAATTCAGCCAGCTTGCTGCTGTCAGCTCCAAAAGCGTACTCGGGCAAGACGGTAATCTCACAGTGCTCGCCGCTCTTCATCTTTCGTAGAGCCATCTCAATGGCGGGCACAATGCCCGACTCGCTGCCTTCGCCCAGAGAGAAGGTCACACCGGAGTGCTGCTCAAAGACGCGCTCCTCGTGCTTTCCGACGTAGTCGATGCAGACGGTAGCGCCCTTGTTTGGCGTGTCCCAGCCGGTGCCGTCCTTGAGGATGCGCCTGTAGACGCCGCCGTCCTTCTTCTTGGTAATGTCCTCCAGTTGCCAGTCAAAGAGCTCAATCTCAAAGAGAAGTGTCGAATTGGGTGGAATCTTTGGCGGCGAGCCGCGTTCGCCATAGGCCAGCGAGGAGTCAATCTTGAAGGTGGCCACCTCGCCGCGCTTCATCGTCTTTACGGCAATGTCCCAGCCGCTGATCACCTCCTTGGCGCCCAGCGTAAAGACAAACTGCTCATTTCGACTGCGAGAACTGTCAAACTCGGTTCCGTCCAGCAGCCAGCCGACGTAGTGCACGGCCACCTTGTCGCCGTTGCCCGGTGTTTGCCATCCTATAAAGGAAAGGAGAGTTGAAGAAGATAAAGTCCAGAGAAAAGTGGTGACTCACTTACCTAAGCCTCTAGTGGTGACCGTCTTGGTAATCTTTCCGTCTTTGTTTGGCGAAATGTCGACCTCGACGCCTTCCTTAACCGTTTTGTCGCGTATCTCATCATCCTTAAGTTCTTTCGTAATTTCATGCTGAACACGCTTTTGAAAGTTTTCCATGTCTGCTGGTGTTTGTCTTAAAGTGTTGTTAGATATGTTGTTGAGTATGATCACTACGAAGTAGCAATGACAGAGGCAGAAGTAAAACTGAACGTGTCACAAGAAACGAGCGGCAACGGTTGTTGTTGCTTGTTCTGGAAAGTTCTCACAACACTAACGGCTGTTTTGCAGACAGTACAGAGGGCGCATCAGCTGGTGGTTGAATAACCAAAGTCAGATGTGTTCACTCAACTGCGATTTGAATCTGAAAAGATAAGATGCTTTTAGTTTGCCTCAAAAAACAAATTCTGAACGATCACAAAGCTTGTTCCAATCTTTAGCTACAAGTAAACAAAAGAACTGCGTATGCAGAGGTGTCAAAATAAAGACCGGTGAAGCTTAGCTTCAATTCGGACAACACACACTTACCGGCTAAAGCTGTCAGTTGGCCTGAAAGCTAAAATGGTGCAAAGATTAAGATTGTCGATAGTGTAGTGATATTTGCACAGGTAAACATGTACGAGTTTCAGATCACACCGGGTTCACGTCTCGTCGCTTATGAATTGCCCCGACAGTAGATTTCTATTGGCCGGCGAGAAGTGCTCCTCTTGTCCAGATTCTGTGTTGGATCACTTTTGTTATTCATTTCACAAGCCTCCCCCTCCTCTCGTGATGGCCACCACCGATAAGGTCGCAGAGCTCTACGAGCACTACAATCAACTGGACAATGCAAAGGAGGAAATAAGCAATGTAAGTGTTGGTCAGCTGATCATCTCAGAAGAAAAGGCTGTGAAATGTGAATTCTTATGAATTGTTTTTATTTACAGTATGAGGCATCTTATCTGGCAATTATCTCATCAGTTCGAGGTAGCGCTCACGAGAAGCAACTGAGCGCTCAGTTCATCTCCAAGTTTTTCGTTCACTTTCCGAATCACTACGATGCGGCCATTGATGCTCTTCTGGACCTCTGCGAGGACGATGACGCAAACGTGAGTGTTTTGTTCTAGCAAAAACTTATTCAATATTTTTACCAAATGTTTCAATTTTTAGATAAGACGTCGGGCTATTAAAGAACTGCCCAACATTTGTCGCGATCGAAAGGAGTTTGTCGGCAAGATCGCCGATGTTCTAGCGCAGCTTTTGCTCTCTGAAGATCAGATTGAGCTAACTATTGTCAACCAGGCGCTGACAACTCTTGCCAGCTTTGACATCAAAAGCTTTCTCCAGGCGTTGTTTGGACAGATCAACGAAGGTGAAGAAGAGACACGAGAGCGAGTCGTCAAATTCTTGAAAGAGCGCGTACGAAATATAAACCCAGCTTTGTGGACCAAAGAAGTGGAGGAGTTTTTTCTCGAAGAGGCCAAAAAAGTCCTGAATGACGTTACAAAGGATGAGTTTGTCACACTCATGACGCTGTTGTCAGGCCTAAAAATCTCAAAGACATTAAACGGGCACAACGCTCTGCTGAGTATCATCAAGGAGCAGGCTGAGCTAGAGACCCCATTCAATGTAAGCATTCATTTGTTTAAAGTTCAATTTTCAGTGTTTTTTACTTTACAGCCAGAGGATAACGATTTTCTCGACAAGCTTCTCATGTGCATTCGTCATGGAATTCCATACTTTTCGGTAAGACTTGATCAACAACTTTAACTTTAACTTTAAAATAAGCTAATGTTTTTCAATTTTAGCAATTTTCTCCGTCGACTGATTTCGTCATGTACATCTGCACTAAAGTGCTGCCAAAACTTGACTTGCTTAGCGCTCAGACAACAGGCATCGACTTGGAACTACTGCAATGTCTGGCCGAAATTGCCCCCTTCATTTCTCCAAACACCGAAGGCAAAGATCTCGAAAGCTGCCAGGATGCAGTGTTTTCTCAACTTCTCAACTATGTTCCCAAACCGCCGGAAGACATTCAGACAGACCTTACATCTGAGAGCTCCAGCGAGCTTCCGAGCACTCAGTTTTCTCACGTCGAATGTCTGCTTTTCATCTTTCACCAACTTTGCAAGCTGAACCCTAATTATTTCGATTCCAAGGAAGATCTATTGAAAGACCTGAAACTGCGCTTACAATATCTTGCTAGAGGTTTGTTGTTTTGGAACTTTAAACTTACAAGTAAACTTACCTTTTTATCATTTTTCTAGGCGTTCAAAGCTACATTAACAAGTTGAGGAAAGTCATCTCTTCGTTGAAACCAGGCGAAGCCAAGAGTGCAGAGAATAAGATTACGGTGATCGCCCTGAAGGCGACTACCAACATCAACTCTCTGATTAAGGACTTTTTTAAGATTCCTCCTACTTACAAGACCACAATCTCGCTGTCTTTTAAACAGCAGACTAAGGCAGCCGGTGTTCATCCACCACTGCCGGTTCCTGCTCTGACTGCTGCAACAGTTGCAGCTGCTGTCGCAGCCACCCCAGCTGAAAAAGAAAGTGGCGATAATGGACAATCAGCGCCGGCTGAAACTACCCGAAAGCGCCCCTTGATCACCGCCCCAGAAGGTTCGTCTTCAGAGCCTAAACGCGAGCGCTCCTCTGTCTACACTCCTCCAACGGGAAAGTTCAGCAACCGAGGCAACTCGTCTTCGTCTTTTCGACGTTTCCCATCCCAAGGATCGGGTAGCTTTAGAGGAAATCGAAATGGTGGCGGTGGCGGTGGAGGTGGTGGCGGCCGAGGTGGTTTCTCCCGAGGAAGGGCCAACTTTGGAAATCGTCGTCGATACTCATCCCGATACTAGGCCCACCGCATCTGCATCCCGGATATTTTCAAACACATACATTTACATACCGAAGACTCAGCACATTTTCTCTTAAAATAAGTTCTTTTAGCTATTCCCTTTCTCGCTGTGCGTAGTGGTCGACTTTCACAAGTATACAGTACCATTTCATGATATAGCCATATTACATGTCACCATCAGTCTTAATATAAAAAATTATTGACAAGACTCGGTTTACTGATAAAAATATGCTCAGGTTACATAAGGAGCTGAAGAAGTAGCAAACCATTGATCACATCAATACGAAACCCCGTAACCGAAGAGGAAAGACGACTGCGCTTGCTTGTCATTGCTGCTGCTGCTGCTGCTACCCTTGCTCCTCCTCGTCGCTTTCAATGGTGATCAACCTGGAGCGAGAGAGCGGCTTGAGGTTGTCCATCTCGTGCGACTCGAACGAGTTGGTCACCTCCACCTTGGCCGCCTTTCGGGCATTTCTCATCACTAAGCTGTACTTGTCGCACTTGTAGTAGTAATGGTACAGAGCCGGCAGGACCATCATCAGCGCCAGGAGGATGCCCACGAGAAGGCCGTAGTCGTCAAAGGTGACCAGAAGATAGCCAGATGCTGGGGCAAAAGAAGAAGAGAGAAGTGTCAGAGTATTGGAGTAATAGTTGAAACAAAGTTGATCAGAGCTCACCTCTCGCCTGGACAGCCTGGTCCTCGATGAACTGCTGCAGAGTGAGCTCCTTCAGTGGACTGACTCCATCGCCGCGCACCTGACGAGTGTACTCCCGCAGAAAGTTCTCCTCCTCGCCGGCGCTGTCAAAGAGACGCAGGTTGTAGAGAGTGCTGTGTGGAATGCTGGCCATGACCGTGACCTCCAAAGATGGATGGATGTGGATGGATGGATGGATGGAGCGGGGAGGGAGAGAGATGGAAAAGGTGGGGACAAAGCGAAGGCAATCGAGCAGTCAGTCAGGCACTCTCTCTCGTTCTCTTTCACTTTCTCGCTTTTGTTGTCATCCTCTTTTGTAGCCCTTTATCTTTTCATCTTTTCACTTCATCCATTCATCAACATTTATCGTCTTGACCGATACTGCCGCAGCTCGCAGTAGCTCACCACTTACAGACAAACTTAATGCACTTTTAATTGAACTTGCCTCATCAGCAAGTGCACCTGCTTGCTGACAAGCTCCTCGCTCGAGGCCATTTGATTTCTCCAATTTGGTTATCACCAACTCATCATCTCAGCAACAGCAGCAACGGCAGCAATGACATTTGTTCTTTTTGGTTGTTTACTGATCACATGAAAGTGACAGTATTCACAGCTGCTCTCACTCTCACTCTCGAATTACCTACTTTCTCTTTCTCTCTTTCGCCCACTGTGCCGCCTCGCAACCACAGTCACGGGAGCAGCATCGTCGCCCGTGCCTCTCCTATTTTGTTTGCGATTTGCGTGCAGACGCATTGGCGCCTTCTTTGGCAGTTGCCTGCTGCTCGCAATTCTGCTGATGACAGGGAGAATGCTACACAAACAAACGCACAAGTGCACACTGCTGCACTGGCCACCACAGCCACTCGGCTATCATCATTCACAGCTGAAGCGGGAGATGGTAGATGGAAGATACTACTCTAAACTGTCGTCTTCCTTATACTCCTGCTCTTCGGTAGTTAAAGTGCCGATAACTGGGAAAAAAGTATTGACGATTTAAAAGAGTTATGCTCCCCTTGCTTATCTGTGAGTGCGTCGCTCCTGAGCTCCTGTGCTGCTCAGGTAAAACCGAAGCAGAACAACTTTTCACTACAACCTGGCCAAACTAGCCTCCACCACTCAACCAATCAACTGCTCAACTGCTGAACAAAAGAAAATACAGGAGGAAAAGACAACAGAAAAAATCCCCGTCACATGAACAAAAGCGACGGCGGCGGCGAGGACAACACTGGAGGAGAACACTTGAGTAGACATCTTCATTTTACAGTGACTGTACGACTGTGAGGGGACGGGGAAGGGGCAAATCTTCTGCAGGCTTCACTACAGACATTGCACTTTTCCTGCACTTTCTTTCTGATCTCAGTGAAACCTGTTCTTTTCTATTAGCCAGTGAACATCGGCACTTTCGATTGTAGCCAACAGTGTCCAACTGCAGCAGCAGCGGAGCTCAATTAAGTACCTCAACCTTTACCACCACCACCACCATCGCCACTGCTGACCAGTCGCCAATACACCTCTTCGTCTTTTTCTCTCTTAGTGACTCACTACCGTCTGACGTCAGACCTCGCTACTGTCATTAGCTTTTTTTAA